GCAAAAGTTCTGGTTATTCAATATTTAAAAAAAATTTATGTATGTAAGTTTTATAATAATACTCTGAAATAACTAAACAAACATTTTCTGAGAGAGTTTACTAAGGGATTGTTAGGCTTTCACTTGGTTTTTAAATCAATAAGATCCAATAATTTTTAACAAAGTTATTGGAATTCAAACTTACGGACAGCGGAAGGCGGGTGTTTTTTGTTAACGACCCATATATGGTATGAAGCTACTGTGTTAGCGAAACAATTGTCAAATTAAATTAAAATAAATTCGTGAAACTTAAAAAACAGTGTTTGTTTTTTATCTAGTTATACATTAGTATGTTGATACTTTAAACAAAGTAGACTTTGCAACAAACTAAATAAATTTAAACCTCAATCTGAGCTCTAATTTTATTATTTTATTGTAAGTGATCTTATAAACGTTTTTATTTTAATACAGACCATCTCGGAATTTCGTAGTTTTTTATGAACCATATCATCTAAGGATACTTTTTAGCGTACCGTAAAATCTTGTTTTATCAAACGAATTCAAAAACAGTTTTTATAGCGCAATATTAAAAGGCAACAAAATACAAGTAGACAGATAATGCCGACAAAAAGTTGTAGTATTCCTCAAAAGCAAAATTCATGTCTCTGGTTATTTTGGCTCGTCGCAAAACGATGAAAAAAGTGGAGCAATGAAAAAAAATGTCGATACACAGGCCGGAACATGTAGTCTCCAAGTTTATTAAGATCGTCTGTACGATAAGTGAGGAAGGAGCATCTTGATAAATGCTCGGCTAAACTTGTACATTGCACAATGTACAAGGCTTGGATAATTGAAAATCGATGGGAAGTTTGCACTGTGTAAATTTATAGGAAAGATTTGCAAGTAGGTCAATAGTGCATTTTAGGATTTTGGAAATTAAATAAACATAAAGGTTGTATTTAACAAAAAAGATTTTACTCCAAAATTTCAACATATCATCTTATAGATTTCAATGGATTATACAGGGTGTTCCAGAACTCGCACCACAGAGAAAAAGGGAACGTACCGAATGTTATGCGAAACACATACTTGACAATTAAAATTATCTAACGCAAGAGATAAGCGAGATAAGAATAAAAAACGATAGCCAATCACAATACATGGCCATAGGAAATTCTTTAAATTGCTAGGATACTTATTGTTAATATTAAAATTTGTAAACTGGAATCCACTTCAATGTGACACTTCTGTCAATTTTTGTTCCTGTCATCATTTTATGTTTATTCTTCTCTGATTACACCAAAATAATGATTACACTATGACGACTGCCACTTTTTTTGCTCCAGGACGTCTAGGATTTGAAATAATTGCGTAATAAAATGCTCTTCCCAATTATCTCAAAATGTTTTTTGAAATTTTGTTTGTTCCATTGTAGCCGTATACTATAGTAGTATTTTATAAGGGACATTTAATAAAGCACTTTTCTGCAGAGAAGTGCTTTATTAAATCCCAAAACTAAAATTATAATGTTTTTTTGGTAAAAAGTATTATTTTTTGAAATTTTTGTGTCGTTTTTTTAATTACTAATTAAATTGAAAAGGCAATAAAGTAAATGGGTTTCGGTATAAGCATTACTCTTTGACTATTATTTGATATGTTTTTATTCACATCATGCCTAAAGTACCCTAAAATTTAATCTCGAATCTTATTTATTAATTGAAGTATAAAGGCGCCTTTATCTACTTTATCGTTCAAGCACACTAAAGTGCATCTATTAATTATCGACATTTAAAATTTTAACTTTAAATTGTATTTTTACTTGAAAGTTATTTTAAGAACCAAAAATGAAAAAAGAGCAGGAAATGGAAGTGGTAATGGAAGTGGCAGAGAAAGAGAAAGGAGACGAACATTTATGTCGTCGTTGTAAATTTATTTTGTTTTTGTTGGGGTACCTTTACGCCCAAGAAAAACCAACGCAATATTTCATTACAAAATTTTAATTTTGCAGGAATATTAAATAGAACTGATATACGACGTTTAATGCAAGATCAAGCATTCAAAAATGCTCTCAAAGTTGACGAGCTTGTCGCATATGGCTTAACACTGCCATGATGAACCGTTTTCTTACAATCATGCCTTAAAAATTGGTAGTTTTACAATTTGATCTTTTAACTTTGGAATTTTGTAATTCATGTAAAATCAGTAGGTACCCGGAAAAAAACCTATATATATATTCTTATGCAGCGCCGGATTTAGGGGGGTCTTTGGGGGTCTATAGACCCGGGGCGCAAGCTTACAGGGGGCGCAAAATTTTTTACTGGTAATTTTTGTTTTTTACTACAACCTAAAGGGTTTTCCCCTTTTTTTATTTTTTGTGTATTAATCAGTTTTAATAAAAAATTATTTAAATTATAACCGTGATTGTTGCCATAGTATTATTATCTATGCATAGTATACGAAATATTTCGTCATATATATGTCATTTCACGTATTACGTAGGGCGCCCGACAAGTTTTTGGGCGACAAGAACTTTAGATTGCAGAAATTGATTATTTCCACCGATGCGATGCGTATGGGCGTAAAGGTTTTTTAATATAAGAATATTTTATTACACTACGAACAACTATTAATTTAAATTAGTTTAAAACTATAGTTATATACAGTACCAGTCATATATGTATGTATATATACAGTATAGGTATTAGCCTATTGAAAGATGACGTCAATATTGCGATAAACAAATTTGCTTCTCTAAAAGCACGCAAAGTTGAGTTGGCAAAATGTTAATTTTCTTATTTAGGTATTTGTTTTTTATATAGTTTTTGTTTATGTTTTTAGGGTGGCAATATTTTTTCGATTTTTTTTTATTTCGGAGCTTACATGAAACAATTTAAGTTTAAAGTATTCAAGTTTTAACTCAAAAAAAAATAAACGTCGCTCAAAAAAATCAACCAAATTGGAAAAATAGTAGTGGTTACAAGATCAAAATTATTAAAAAAATCAAGAAATGTATTTCAAAAATATTGAGCGACCAATAATATTTTGACTTAAAATGTATTATCTTCCTATACGACCTACAAAAAAAATAGTGAGAAGCCAAAGATTTTGAGAAAAAAGGTTGGTTTAAAAAAGTTTTGAGCGACGTCTAAAATTTTTTTATCTTTTGAAACTCATATAGGTAGGGGCGGAAAATTTTTATTTATTTATTTATTATTTATTTTTTTATTGGGAAATCAAATGCCCTACAAAAAAAGTCTTCCAACATTTTTGGCTAAATTCACTGCATCAAAAGTTATTCAAGGTTAAATTTGAAGTCAAAACGAAATTCTTGTTTTTTCCGCTCTAGATTTTTTTTTGGGTCAGTTAAAAGCTTGGATTCTTTTATCGATTAAAAAATTTAAAAAAAAATTAAAACATTCGAATTTTTTCGCCTTAGAAAATATTATTTTCACTGTTACCTATTTAATCGTTTAAATAATAACAATCATGTCGTTTTTTTATTGGAAATTGTTAATTAGTTATATAATACACATTTATAAAGAAAAAAATCAAATTATCACTCATAAAAAATAAATCTACAGAGGAAAAAACAACTTTATCCTTGACTATTTCCCTCGTCTTAATTTCCACCAATCACAAACGCGCAATTTTGAATTACAAATGGTTTCTAGGTGAAAAAACTGTGTGACAGCACCTGTCAACAGTTTATTCGAGTTTACCCGCGGCAAAACTTGACAGCTGTTGTCAACAAAAATTTCAATTTATATTCATTCATTATAATTGTTAACTGTTACTCATGAAATAGTCTTGTCAAATACCATTCGGGCATCTAATTTTTCCTGTGAAAAAAATCGAAAAAACACAATGCTAAGTAATATTTTTTAACAAAAAGTATTCGTGCAGGTGCAAAAATCCTCCTCTTCGACTCGGATTTTTGTTGCCACCAGCACTCATGCTTTTTGTTAAAATATTACTTAGCAACGTGTTTTTTCGATTCTTTTCGGAAAAATTAAATGCCCTTATGATATTACTTACGAATAACTTTTGATTGAGTGAATTTAGCCAAAAATGTTAAGAGGCTTTTTTTGTAAAGCATATGATTTCCCATCGGTTTTTTTCTGGGTACTGATTTTTACATGAATTACAAAATTCCAAAGTTAAAAGATCAAAATGTGAAACTATACCAATTTTTAAGGCATGATTTTAAGGAAACGGTTCATCTGACGGAAAATTTTATTTTAGCCTTTTTTGTAGAGCATTTAATTTTCTTAAAAAATTAGTCAATTTTGTTAAACTCAATAGTTTGGGAGTTCTGAGACAAAAACTTGCTGAGGAAAAAAATTTAAAATTGCGATGATAGACCTCTTATTATTATTATATTATATTATTATGGACATAAATTCATAATATTTTGTTTGTCACCCCAAACCATATTTTCAAAATACTTTTCAAAAAAAAAAATTGTTCATTTTTTTTGGCCCAGTCTAGTAGCATACCTTATTTTTTTGTTGAGTACTTTACTTACATACCGGCTAAACAACAATATCGCCGCCATTTCTTTATATTTCTAAATGTTGCCATATCAGCAGAAAATGTAGAGAAGCTAATTATTTTATATGGCTTGTAAACGTAAACCAAAATTAATTTCGACAAGACCGTTTGCTTTTGAAAAAGATTATATTTACTTTTTACGACGGTAATCCCCCGAGCCGGTCGGACGGGAAGCAATTTAGCAGCAAGACTTAAAACTAGTCGTTAATTTTAAGGATGTCCCCAAATGCTTAATATCTGTCCCGCTAAACTTCCTACAAAGTAGGTATTATATCTACAATACCTTCTTTGCTCAACTAATGAAATGAACACGGAAACAGATTTCGATTAGCAGCGTGTGTGCCAAATATTCATTTTAATAATTCAACGATAATCGTTCGAATTTGCTGTGTTCAGCTGGTACCAGGCACGCCTTTCCTCCTTATTTCATATTAATTAAATCACGTAAAGAAAGCGCTGAAAAAACTTACCGGTTCCAAAATTGACGTCGACGAAATCGTCTGCTATGACTGGTATGGTTTTGTTTAGAAAGGGGTGTCGAAGTTTGCGACCCACGTGTCGAAGGTAGCGTTCGTCGCGGGGATTCACCGCGACCGCTGAGTCTCCCAACATCGTTTCCAGACGGGTGCTGCTCACCACAATCTCCTCCACATCTAAAAACGTTCATATAGTCATTCATACAGATTAATGCATTCCACAAGTTTATTTATTTATTTGTATACACGGAGAGAAAAGTATAATGCTGATTACCATAATTATAATACCCTTTACTATACTTTATATTACTATTTGGGACAACTATCTTGTCTATTGCCAGATACTATGCATATTTAGTAATTTTTAAATATGTATGTATGTTAAACCTTAAGGTAAAATATCACTAATAAGTATAGTAAATTTTAAAATATTATGTTGCCATTTTAAATATAAAATATTTTAAAATCAAATATTTTTATATGTAAACAATTAAAAATTGTAACATATTTATTGTACTTTTTAATATACAAAAATGTTATGAGAAAGAATTGAACCTACACCTCGCCAAAGTTTTTTGTTTTCAGTGCGTTCCATCAACTTCAAATATCGACAGACAGGTGTTTTGACCAGTGTTGCCAGATGTAAAAGTTGAAATTATCGAATTGGGTTAATAAAATTATCGAAAATTATGTTACAATAATTGTAATAATTATGTTACAACAATTATTAAAATTTAATCATAAAAAAGTGAAAGAAGCAGGGTTGAAAATATTATCGATTTTTTGGAAAATTATAAAATTTGTTAAAAATACTATATACTATATACTTCTTGCCTCTACTTCCCTTACCGCTACCTCTGACAACTATAAATTGTTTCATATAATATTCAATGCCCAACTTGGCTACCGCTACCGCTGCCTCTACCGTTACCTTTAGAACTATAAATACCGTACGGGAATCTATAAACAGCACTACGGTATTGTTGATCTTTTACGACAGGAAGGAAGGAAATCTATAAATCAGGCTTTATGCTTAATTAAATTAATTAATCTGGATAGAATTAAGTTAATTTTGTCCAGATACTTGGATTAAAAATTATGTTACAATTATCGATTATGTTACATATAATTTTCAAGTTTTGTTTTTAGAAAAATTTATGTTACAATTCGATAATTATGTTACAAGTGGCAACACTGGTTTTGACCCATATTGGGTATCATCAGTGTCGACAGGAAACTGTCGAGCAACTTGTAGTTGTGGAACACACCCAAAACAAAGAAATACCTGAGCTTATATAACATGGTTGGTAAGCCAACAGAGGTGAGATGTGGCCTTTGCCGCAATCGGTACATACTATGCAACCAAGTAGGTTCAAGTCTTTCTTTTAAGTATTACCAGTAATGGGTCAAGAAAGTTTATTGAAGAAACTAAGAGAATTGAATGTTTAAAATGTCATGAGTTACTATATTGTATATTATATTTAAATATATTGTTTATTTACCTTAAACATAAAAGTATCTTTATTTTTACTATATTTTTTATTAATGTGTAATATATTATAATATTAGATGTACACCTTACATTTGATTAAATCATATAGTAAATATTACTATTTGTAGATAGTAAAATCAATTTACTATACGAACATATTAAAAATTAAAATATATATTATACATTTATGATTTAGTAATATTGGTGTTGTAATCTTTACAAAAATTGTATAATAAAAAATAGTATTTTGTATTACAATCTTAATATTGTATTGACGAATATATAATAACCTAAAAAATGTTAAAGTAAATTTTACTATATTTTTTTACTATCTAAAATTTACTATACATTTCTCTCCGTGTATTTGTATCCAAAAGGCCCATCGTCCAATAGCAACATTATGTTTTTATACACTTTTCCAGAGAACCATGGTTTGGGAAATAAATTAGTCAACTTTTTCCCAATTAAGTTTGTTGTACGATTAGGGATTGCATTACCGGTTACCGATTTACCGGTTTACCGATTTACCGCCTTAAAAGTTCTTTAAATTACCGACGAAAAAATCGACGTCTTTTACCGGTAATTTCGGTAAAAAATGTCAAGCTGACAACAGCGCGGATCCCTTGTTTTTGTGAAAAGATTTGTACTAAGATTAGGTCGCGGCTAAGTGATAATAATATTGAGGAGCTGTGTTTTCTCAGGGCCCTTTTTATTAAACAAAAGAAATCGAAAGAGTCGTTGGAAAAGTAAGAAACGATAGGTATTTTTTTATTTAAATTACTATTTCGAATGTTTTAGGGCCTGTTACTAGTCTTTAAGTTAGGTATACACCGATAAAATAGTTTGGTCATTACAAACATGGGTCTTAGTTTCTATATTATGTATTTGCCACAACTTACGCATATTGGTTAGAAATAAGAACATTTTTCTGTGACAATATTGGTCAATTAGTTGTTACTTTGCCATTAATTTAAATGAAATTAAGTTGTAAACAACTTATCATATTAAATATAAGATTATTAAAATATATCATTTTGACACAAAGAAATCAGTTTTTACCAAACATTTATTTGTTTAAAATATTTTTTGGTAGGGATGCTAGCAAACGCAAGGCAGCCATTGTGAACCAAAGAACTTCTTTGTTACGAACCAGTAAACAAGTGTATGAAATACATGCAGTACATAATTTTACGCAGATAAAAATGCAGTGTGTGTTGAGTGAACTATTAATGGTGAGTACTTATTTATTTAAATGTCACTTGTCCATATAATTTTAAGAAAAGTAGGAAGGCCCCCTGTATCTATATAAAAATTGGCAAAAAGGACAAAATATCTTGTGTAACCATCGAAAAATATTGCCACAATTTTTATTAACTATAACTAATCGTGTAATTAATTATCCCATTTATAATAAAATGATATTTAAGTAAATTTCATTCAATTACAGAAGGTCATAAAACTATTATTCTTTTTAATCAGGACTAATTTATTGACTTTTGTTACCTTTTTATATTTTATGGATAGGTTGATTACTGAAGTATGAGATAACTTTTTGAATATTTTTTGTTTAAAATGAGTTAGCTAGTTAAGATTTTGTTTTGTATTCTTGTTTTATTTTTTTGGTTAAAAATATTTTTATATGTATACATAATATTATTATACTCTATATTATACTCTGTATTTTGTTATAAATATTATAAAATAAAATTGTTTTATTTAATTTATTTAGATTTTCAATAACCAGCCTCTTCTGCATTTAAATAATTTTATTGCAAATAAAGGGCTTATTCCTGACAATGAAATTTTCGTTTTGGGCAAATTAGTTCTGTCGTGATAACAAGTTGCTTTTTTGTGACGAAATTATTGTTGTGTTGCAATAAAGCACATGCGTTTATCCCAAATAGGTGCATGTTTAATACAAAGAAATGAAAAATTTATTAGAAATAAATATTTAGTTGCAAGAACATAATCTGCTATTTGTAAAGAAATGTATGCATTTACGTCAAATTAATATAAGTTTGTTCGAAACCAACTTTACCAAACTAAGTAATTACTTGCCTTAAGTCTATATTAGTTGCGCAATATACAACCACAGGATTAGTTTACCTAAAATCAATTTCGTTTCTCTCAAACAAATTGTTTTTCCGGTGTACACGTATTAGTTTTTTTTTCCTAGAGTTTTACTTTTCTGTTATTATTTAATAAGTTTGGTTATTTATTTTGTTGCTTATTACTTTGTTATTTTTTATGTCGGTAAAAACCGGTAAATCGGTAATTTTTTAAATAATTTACCGAATTACCGGTAAATTAAAATTCGGTAAATTTGCAATCCCTGTGTACGATATTTTACATTTATTGGAGTTTTATGCCAATCATTTCCCAACTCGATAACACAAAAACTGCATGAAAATAAAGACTTGAGTTATTTTTGGCCAACTTCGTTTGTAATGAAGTTTGGTCTAAAACTGGCAATGCGTTTGTAATGCAAGTTCACTGAGAGAAATCATACTATTGTAATAAACAAATCATATATTTGGAAGTTTTCAGTTATAATTAAAAAATATTGTTTCTGAATAACAAATATTTGTTTATTATTTCAATACGGCAAAATTAATATATTTTTATTTAATATGCCAATAATTGTTTTATTGAGTTTGATTAAAAGAAATAAATATTTCTTTATAAAAACCAAACGGATTAATAAATTTAAAACATAGATTTATCCATTAATTAAAAATAAATCATATTTTTTAATAAATAAATATATTTTGTCAAACTTCCATAAAACAAATAATACAATTTTAATTAATAAATAATGCATTTGTAAGAAATACATGTTTATTGTTGAATACGTTTTCTTTATTAAATGTTACCCGTTTTCTTTACAATAAAGCTGTGTTAAGTAAAAAATAATAAATCATTTTTTAATTATTAAATATATTTTGCAAAATTTGCTAAATATGCCCTAAAATACGTCATTTACTTATTTCGCGCCCTCGCGTAAGCATCATCAGTTTTAGTTTTATGTTGTGAAGTCGTGAAGTACCTGTAAAAAATGGATTTAAAGGACTTTCTTATCGATCTCGGTTTAAGTGATGTTGTGTCCAATTGTAAAGGTAATTTATAACAGTTTTTTTCTTCTTTAAAATGTTAACAATGATTTTAATAAATGAAAAGCTTTATGACGGAATATTTACCATCAGGTTTAAACTTCTAAAGTAGCAACTAAAATGTGATTTTGATTTTTAATGCATTACATTCTGTTGAGATATTCTTAGTTAAAGAGATCTTCGCTATATATATATTTTTTGTTTATATCCAAATTTTTATTTTAGAATAGAAGAGGCGTCGGTTGTTTTTTTAACAGAAGATTCCTATCAACCTGCTGTTTACAATAAATGAAGATGGCCAACCAGTGTTGTCCATACTCCAAACGTTAATTAGCAATATCGACACTTTAAACGAACCAACTTTAAGTCATGACATTGAATAGTCATTTTGTACAAAATCAAATGACCGATCTTAAAGACAGGAAACACAAATAACATTGGCGTATTTAGAAGAACAACTATATATTATAAATATTGAAACATTTTTTATTATTTAAAATTTGTTATTTATTAACAAATTCATTGTTTTGTGTAAAAAACAAACTGTTACAATAAATAAATATTCAATTTTTATT